AGATAAGATAAAACTTTATTTAAGATAAGGTAAGATAAGATAAAACTTTAAATAAGATAAGGTAAGATAAGATAAAACTTTAAATAAGATAAGGTAAGGTAAGATAAGATATAACTTTATTTAAGATAAGATAAGATAAGATAAAACTTTGTATAAGATAAGGTAAGACTGGATAAGATAAAACTTTATTGAAGATAAGATAAAACTTTATATAAGATAAGATAAGATAAGATAAGATAAGATAAGATAAAACTTTGTATAAGATAAGGTAAGACTGGATAAGATAAAACTTTATTGAAGATAAGATAAAAGATAAGATAAGATAAGATAAGATAAGATAAGCTAAGATAAGATAAAACTTTATATAAGATAAGGTAAGATAAGATAAAACTTTATTTAAGATAAGATAAGATAAAACTTTATATAAGATAAGATAAGATAAAACTTTAAGATAAGATAAGCTAAGATAAGATAAAACTTTATATAAGATAAGGTAAGATTAGATAAGATAAAACTTTATTCAAGATAAGATAAGGTAAGATAAGATAAGACAAAACTATTTAAGATAAGATAAGATAAGATAAGATAAGATAAGATAAGATAAGATAAAACTATTTAAGATAAGATAAGATAAGATAAAACTTTATTTATTCCACCGTGGGGAAATTAGCACATTTCTGCAGCTTAATACAGGAGAGGCTGAGAATAGTAAACATAAATAAATAAAACAAAGTAAAAACCCCCACTGTCGCGGCAATTTGGGACAGAAACACGTTGAAATAATGCCAAAAGAACAAAGTCTTACGGGTATGGTCGTAAAATTATTTATTTAAGGGCAGACAAAGAACAGAAAACAATCAGGAAGTCTGTTGAATGTGGCCACCCGTCATGAGATGGCAAAACAATGTTATACCCTCAGCTAACACCATGTGACAATGAACAACCAATCACAACCTGCCTCATGTTACTAACAGCCAATGACAAGCTCTAAGCTCAAGGCAACCATATCGTTACGTGGAGAGAGGTCATCTTGATGCTGGAGTCCCTGACGTCTGGCACCACAGATTAAAAACAG